CATAACAATTAGGGCTTGTGGACAAAGCCTGGCATTTGATAAATAACTAAGCAGTTGTGAATTGCCACTTTGCAGCATTTTTGTGTCCATTTGCAATGCTTTAGAGAGAACCCAGGGCCTTTGGCATGGTAGGCAAGTGCTCATCCTGCAGTTCAGGGTATTATGGGCTTTGGGCCGTCTGGATATCAGCAAGTCACCCCCCCCCACACACACACACTGTTTGTCTCCCTAAGACGGTACCCAGCCACTATTGGCAGACTGTGGGGAACAGGCCTTTCCAGGCTACTGCCACCAGGTGATGGCTCTGGCCTGGACTTCTGGAGCAGGCTGATCCTCCACCTAGGCCAGTTCTCCCTCCATCTCAGCACCCAGGGAAGCAGTCACTCCCTCTGTTTGGTGTTGGGAGGAAGGCTGGCTGTGTGTCTCCTCCTCTGTAGGCACGTGTGAGAACCTTGGCAGAGCTGGAGCCTTGTGCTGGCCCACCCCACAGAGTGCCCATGTGACTCTGTGGGGTCCACTTTGATGTCAGGGTGCAGGATCTAGTGAGTTCCTGTGGCTGCCCAGAGGCCGCAGTGCCTCTCTATAGACGCCAGCCACTCGCTCTGTTCTTCTCCAGTCTCATTAGTGGTGACTCTGCTTGCTGTCTTCTTTGACACAGAACCCCAGCTGGGAGAGCTCTGGTTCATCCTTGGTGTGCGTCCTCTGTTTGGCCAGATTTCAGTCTGGAGTAGAGAAGAGGAGCCCTCAGGGACTGGGCCTCCTTCCCCTAGAAAGTTTGAGGTTGGGGTTGGAGAGGGTGAGGGGAGTCACTGGAGGTGCCCTGGGGGCCTGTGGGGTTCGTGGTTGGAAAGGGACTGCCAGACTGGCTCCCTGGCAGACGCCTGGGCCAGAGGATGGAGAGCCAGCAGAGCTGTCTGCCGGGGATAGAGGGCTCCGGCTGGGCGGCTGGGTGGCTGGGCTGGCACCAGGTCCTGACAGCTAAAGAGAGCCATGGGCCCAGAGCTCCCTCCTCCTGCCCAGCTGTGGCCTTGCTTCAAGGTCTATTTTCCTCCCCGGAGGCAGCCTGGAACGATGGGTGGGAATGGTGGGAACATTTTGTTTCCCATTGCATGAAGCTACATGGGGCATGTGTTCAGATATCCCACTACAGCCCTCAACTGACTGCCTGCTTCCCACCCTTGTGAGTGTCGATGGCCCTGCGGCCAGGGTGTACCTTAGTGGTAGAGCACTTGCCTAGTAGGTACAAGGCTCTGGGTTCTAGCCCCAGCAACACAAAAAATAAAAAGCAAGCCCTGCGTGATGGTGCACACTGTAATCCCAGCACTCTAGAGGCTGAGGCAGAGAAGATCACAAGTTTAAGTCCAGCCTGAGAAATTTAGCAATTTAGTGAGATCTTGTCTCGAAAAATAAACTAAAACAAAATAAGGAATGTAGCTCACCATATAGGCCCCAGCTTTGATTCCCCAATACCACCAAAAATAAAAAATAAAAATCCCCAAACCCGTACACTTTTGAACAGAACTGGCAATCCTTCTCCAGATGACCTGAGACTAAATGAGCTCCTGAGGGTGTTGTGGATACCTGAACCTCAGGGACACCGCCTGAAGTTGCCCAGGACTGGCAGTGTAGCTCAAAGGAGCCCACTGCAGAAGGAGACTCCACAGGTCAAGGGTCAAGGCCATGTGTGCTGTGGTGAGGAGAGCGTGTGGGACTCCTGTGGCCTTGAATTTATAAACGTCCCTCTTCCTCAGCCTCTAGAGTGATGGGATTAGAGACATGTGCCCCCATGCCAGGCTCAGCTCACATATTTCTATGGGTTAGTTCTGAGTTAAGGATTTGGGGGCATGTGAAAGAGACTGAGTCAGTGGCTGAGGATCTGGAAAACATAGGGGGCCCTCAACACCTTCCTTGGGCCCTCTGGACAGGGTCCTCACATTGGGATTCTAATTTTTCATTTTAGAGTCCTGGGAGTGGGAAAACTGTCTAGTGTTCTATTGGTTTGGTTTTCTTTTGTGGTACTAGAGATTGACCCTGTGGCTCAGTCACTCTCAGGCTAATGCTACTAAGCAACAACCCTGGTCCTTTTTATTTCATCTTGACACAAATCTTACTAAATTGCCTATTCTGGCTTTGAATTTGTGATCCTTTGGCCTCAGCCTCCCAAGTAGCTGGGATTACACACATTCAAGTGCTACTGCACCTGGCTAGTATTTGATTCATGTGATTATATATTTTTTAAAAATCTTATATAAGGCTGGGTTTGATGGGGCATACCTGTAATCCCAGAACTTGGGAAACTGAGGCAAGAGAATTGTTTTGAGTTTGAGACCAACCTGGTCTACAAAGTAAGCTTAAGGACAGGCTCAGAAAAAAAAAAAAAAAGGAAAGAAAGAAAAAGAAAAATCTTACATAAAAAACTTTTAAAGAAAATTAGACAATTTTTAACTGGAAAGCATTTTCATAGTGAAAGATTTATGTACTTATTCATGGTATTAGGCTAGAAGGCTTTTGCACTGAGCTCTATCTCCAGTGCTTTTTATATTTTTGTTTTGAGATAGAGTCCAGGTCACTAAATTGTACAAGCTGAGCTGGAACTTGCAAGCCTCCTGCCTCAGCCTCCCACAGTGCTGAGATTACAGACCTGTGCCACCACTCCTGGATATGGTATAAGATTTGTAAACTGGATTCCAAACTGGATTCCTAGACATATTCTCAGGCAATCAACCATTTCCCCCCCTAACAGGTTCACATACTTTTCAACCTTGAGAAATAATTTTTTTCCAGCTAACTGGGTGAATGCTGTGGTGGTGGTCAGGGAGCCCTGTTTTTCCTTCTTTCTGCACCGCACCCTCCAAGCCTTCTGGCCCTTTTCCCCCACCTGAGAGAGGCTCAGGGTGGGAGAGGCTGGAATGGACACCAGAGATCCCTTCTTGAACTCTGAGGGGTCCCTTTGCAGTCTCGGATATTTGGCGAAAACTCCAGGATGTCTGAAAGGAAGGAACTGGTGATGGGCTGAGGTGGCTTTGATTGGAGATACAGTTCACATCATCAAGAGCTTGTTGCCACTGGGAGGCCACCCCAGTCCGCTTGGGGCCCAAGGGGAAATTTAGAGGCCCTGAGAGCTGAAAGGATTGTGGTTTGCCAGCCCCACCATGTGTGTAATGCAAATGAAATTATCTTAATCTATGCAATGAGGATTATGGCGTTCATGAAAGCACTAGTTTCTCAATTAGTGTGAGGTACTTCTGGTTTTAATAGGTTATTTCTTTTGTGCTTTGGGGGATGGAACCCAGAGGCTCAGGTATGCTAAATACACTGTACCACTGGGATACAGCCCTGGCCCCCTGAAGTAATTTTCAAAATACAAAAATGTTTACATGTTTCACACACATGTAAACCCCAGCACTGGGGAGGTTGAGGCAGGAGGGTGGCCACCAGTTTGAGATCAGCATGGGCTGTATAGTGAGTTCAAGATCAGCCGGAACTACATAGTGAGTCCCTGTCTCAAACGAAAAGCAAAAACAAAAAAGGGGGGAAAGAGTGATGTGTGTGAAGCTTTTTGTAAACTCAGCAGTCCCTCAGGGTTGTTCTTCAGGACACCTGGGAAATGTTCCTATGGCAGAGACCCTCGGGTGGTGACTGAAAGGGGCCTATCTGGGGTGGGGTGAAGAAAGCAAGGAGGGGCCTCCACCCTTTCCCACTGACTCAGAAAGGAGCACCTCGGCATCTGCCTTCTTGGGCCATGTGTTCCAGGAGCCTGTTGCCAACAGAGCAGGGGGCTGGCCATGCAATGCATTGGTAGAGCACTTAGCCGGCATGCACAGAGCTCTGGGTTTGATCTTAAGTACCACATTTAAAAAAAAAAAAAAAAAAAAAAAAGTTCTTTTAAAAGAAGAGTTGGGCATGGTGATGTATGCTTATAATCTCACCACTTTGGGAAGCTGAAGCAGGAGGACTGAAAATGCCAGCCTATCCTGAACAACTCAGTCATTTAGAGAGACAGACACTATCTCAAAAATAAAAAAGGGCTGGGGATGTTGCTTAGTGGACAGTCCCCTAGGTTCAGTCCCCAGGACCACCACCACACAAAAACATGGGCCTCAGGCATCCGGGGGCCCTCACTGCATATTCGCTCTTCCCCTGCCAGGACGCTGAACACAGGTCGCCCAGCCGGTCCCCACCCCTGCCCTCTCCTCTCTCTTTTGGTCCGGCCCGGAGCTGCCCACTCTGGAGAATGCGCTGCAGCCTTCCCACCCCATCTCCAGTAACAGCAAAGGATCCATCCACTCGCCTCCATCCCACTTCCCAGAGCTTGGCTGAGTGGCTCATTAGAGATTTCGAATAAGCAGTTAAGGAATGAGCCCTCTGCTTAGTCTAGGTTCTCTATCCCCAGCGGGGAGCCTGGCAGAGAAAGGCTGAGTAGGTGGACGGAGATGAGACAGGCCCTCCTCCTCCAAACATAACCAAGCACACAAACAGGACTCCCAAGGGGCCGTGCAAGGCTGAGCCCTGACTTTCCCCCAGGCGGGGCTTCTGAGGCTTTTCATCGGAGCTGCGGACAAGCCACGGAAGGCGAGGGTACAAAGACTGAACAGCAGAGGGGGTGGGAGAGGCTGCAGCTCCCTACCCTCTTTTCCACCTGGGCCAGACTGACAGACAAGGCCTCTCCGCTCTGCGCTGGCTGCTGGGCTGAGGGCTTGAGCAGAGACAGAGCCCTGGAGGGCGGGGTGGGGACGCTGAGCTCAGTCCTGGTCCCCAAGTAGAAAGGATCCATGACAGCATCACACCTGCTCAGCCCACCCACACGGGGAGCCCCAAGTTAGATCCAGGCTTGGGGAGATTCAGGGAGGTGGACTAGCTCACTTGGGGCTGCTGCCGTGCCCAACTCCACGGGACACCATGTTCACAGAACGCATTGCGGCCCTAGCCAGGAGCTTGAGTGCCCCCAATCTTCCTGCGTCTAACCGCACCTTCCGTCTGTGTCCTCGATGTCCCCTCAGACTCCTGAGCAACAACAAGATCACCGTGCTCCGCAATGGATCCTTCCTGGGGCTGTCCCTGCTGGAGAAATTGTAAGTGCCGCGTGAGGCGGGGTGAGGAGGTGAAGGTGCGTGGAAAGGTTTGCCAGCAACCCTGTGGGGCCACATGAGGCTCCCATGGACCTTCTCAGCGCTTGACCACCCGGGACAAGGCAGAGCAGGGTTGGTCTCGGAGCAGGAGCAGGAGGGCAGAGAGAAGTGGGGAATCCTTATGGGTTGGCAGGGGTGCGGCCGAGGGAGCTCATTAACGCTCTTTAATGAGCAGTTAACTGAGCAGGCTGAGCCCTTTAGCTGGCCGCCTCCTCCCAGCGGGGGACGCAGCAGGAAAGGGCCGAGGGGGACTTAGTGTGACTGGAGCCTCTGTCTTTCTGGAAAAACAAATCAACAAATAAAGCCCCGAGGGGGGGACGGATTGATCCTGTCTGAATCCCCTCCTTCCCTGTGGCCTGCTTTAAAGCTGAGTTCTCTGCAGTGTCCGCAGGCGGATCCAGGCGGATCCGAAGCCCCACCAGCTCGTCTGGCAGTGAGGTGCGGAGGTCGCCTGAGGTCTGGCTGTGGCGGGTTGGTGGGAGAAAGTTAGTGAGGATCAATGCCTAAGGCCAGGCCTGAACCTCATCTGAGTGTTTGTGAGGCTAAGAGGGCTTGGGAGAGGTGGGTGGGTCACCTAACCTGACTACCAGGGGACTTTGCTCAGCCTCTCCCTACTCCTTCCTCTCTCTCTGTCTCTGTCTGTCTCTGTCTCTTTTTCTTTCTTTCTTTCTTTCTTTCTTTCTTTCTTTCTTTTTTTCTTTCTTTCTTTCTTTCTTTCTTTCATTGTATTTAGTACAGGGTCTACAAGGTTTCATTACACAGATGGGACTCATAGTGATCCTCCTGTTTTCAGCCTCCCAAGCACTGGGGATTACAGGCGCATGGCACCATGCCCAGTCTCAGTCGTGGTCTCCGCGCACCCTGGGAGCCTGGCTGGTGTGGCATGCTTCGGATCGAACCTTGTTCACTGCGCCTGCTTAGGCGCTTTAGTCCTTTGAGCTATCTGGCCTTTCCATGGGCTCCCAGAACCACAGCCTGCACCGAGGCTTTAGGTCCTGGTGCCCAGCATCCTGACCCACCTTCTCTCTTGGAGACTGGTTCTTTTTTTTTTTTTTTCCCAGAACTGGGGATTGAACTCAGGCCCTTGCTCTTGCCAAGCAAGTGCTTAGTCTACTGAGCCATCTCCCCAGCCCTAGAGACTGGTTCTTGAGTTCTCCCACTCATTGCAAGCCCCGGGGGGCTCTCTGTGTTGCCCTCCTGCCTGGTATTACTAACTCCTCTCACAGGGCCCTCGGTCCCTCTGTGCCCTAAAACTTTGGAAATGCAAGACACAAAAGGAGCCAGCCAGTATGTGGCCTCCTGGTGAACAGCCTGTATCATGCTGTCTAGTGGAGATCAGGACAATGACAGGCCTTGGGCACTAAGTAGGTTAGAGTTTCTGTTGGGTCAAAGGAGGTGCCCAGCAGGCTGGATCCCTGGAGGGTGACAGAAACCAGCTCCGAGGGACAGGATGAAGTATGCTGACTTCCCCAAGGACAGCGTTCTCCCAGGCAGCCTCTGCCCCACCCATGCCCAGTGGAAGGAAAAGCCTTTCGCCCAAGTCTTTGGACCCCAGGAAGACACTTGATGGCCTCATTGGGTTGGTAGGAGCATAGAGGGCTGTGGTCCAAGTAGAGTGGGCTGGGGATGTCAGGGACTTGGAGGTGGGGGTAGAGCACATGCACAGAGCTGGGCTGGGACCCTGATGAGACTCCACAGCACAGAAGGCACAGGGCTTTGTGTTGGGGGCTGGGTGCCCTGTCAATGGGCTTGATCTTTAGAGCTGGAAACCAAATATTCACAGGTCTTCTGAGGGAAGGCAGGCTGCAGCTGGCCCTCCCACCCCTTCCCTGCCCCAGTGCACTGGTTGCCAGCAGCCGCGCTTCTTTCTCTGCTTCATGAGCACTGCTCAGACCACAGCAGCTCTTCTACTCCCTGCTGGCCTTATCATCTGCCACCTCCTCCTTTGCTTGAGTCTCACTGGGATGTATTTTCTTTTCTTCTTAAATTTAGGTCAAGGTCTACAGGTTGTACAGGATCTCACTACATAAATCAGACTTGTAGTGATTCTCCTGTTTTCAGCCTTCCAAGTGCTGGGATTATAGGTGCATGCTACCATACCCAGTCTCAATTGTCCTCTCAGCAAGCCCAGGGGGCAGGATTGGCACCACACACCAGGGATGAACCCCGCCACTGGTCTCTGCCGAAGATAGTGCTTTAGTCTGCTGAGCTATCTGGCCAACCCTCACTGGGATATATTTTCTGATGAAGGCAAAAAGATGGGCTTCTCCTTCCCACCTGTGCATACATGCTGAACCCGTTCCTCTACCCCAGCACTGGGGTGGAGGGAGGCCCCACAGCAGGCACATTCAGGGTATTGGGAGGGACCCCAAACACAGAATAATCAGAGTTTGCAGACCCAGTGCTGAGCTGAGGGGTATGGGAGGAGTGTGAGCTTGAGAAAGGGTGCCACAGCTGGGCATACCTGTAACCCAGGTGCTCTGGAGGCTGAGGCAGGAGGATGGCAAGTTCCAACCCATCCTGGGCAATTTGGTGAGGCCCTGT